TAGGAGGATGCCATGTGTGCCATCGCCAGCGTGTCTGGCTTTGGCTACAACCACCTCATCCTCAACATGGAGTAGGCCAAGCTGTCAACCAACTAAGCGAGCTACTACTGCTGTCCAGGCCCCTGGTGACACCCAGCAGCCTCCACAGCGGGTATGGGGTGGCTCTACAGACAGTAAAATACTGAAAGTGTCAACAAAAAAAAAAATTATTTTCCATGGTTGGTTCAACCTATGGATGTGGAATCCAGGCCTAAGTTATGAAAGTAAAAATCTCAGGAAGTTTATACTTTACCTCCAAGTCACCAGTGACTGCTGAGAGCAAAGAAGTCAGTGGTTCAAGGACTCTCCTTCCTCTCATCCAGTAGCTTGAAAGATTGAGGGCTGGCATACATTGCGGTGGTAGTGCATTTGCCCACCATGTGTGAGACCCTGGATTGTTATCTCCATCAATACACACATGTCTGACCTAATTTTTTTTTTTAATGTATTTGGTATGGGGTCTCACCATGCAGCTTGTTTGTTTGTTTGTTTGTTTGTTTTCTGGAACCAGGGATTGAACTCAGGCCCTTGTACTAGCCAGGGAAGCTCTTATTCCACTGAGCCATCTCCCCGGCTCACTATGCAGCTTGGACTCATCGTGATCCTCCCGTTTTCAGCCTCCCAGCACTGGGATCCCAGACATGCACCACCATGTACAGTCTTGATGGCTGGCATAGAGTGCCCGGAGGCAAGGCCTGCATGGAATGTGGTGTTGGGACTCAAACCCTCTGAAATACATTTTAGTGTAGACTGGTGCAACCATTATGGAAATCAGTATGGAGACTCCTTAAAAAACTAGGACTGGAAATTCCATTCAAGCCTGCCATCCCCCTACTCGGAATTTTCCCGGAGGAACTGAAAGCGTCATATCATAGTGATAAATGCGTACCTATGTTTATAGCAGCACAATTTGTGATAGCCAGATCTTGGAAACAACCAAGATACCTGTCACATGTGGAATGGTTGAAAAAGATGTGGTACTTTTAGATAATGGAGTACTACTCAGCTATAAAGAATGATAAACTTGAAGCCTTCATATTTAAGTGAATGCCACTTGGAAGATATAAGTGAAATAAACCAGACCCACATGTGTAAATAACGTATTGTCTCTCTAGTATAAGAACATAAGGGCCGGGGAGATAGCTCAATGGAATAAGTGCTTCCCTGGCAAGCACAAGGGCCTGAGTAAATCCCCAGTTCCACCAAAACAAAAACAAACAAAAAAAAGAACTTAAAAGAGGAATTACATATAGAAAGTTACAACATAAATAAAAGGAAAGTGAGAACTTGAGGATTGGACAATGAGGAGGGGGCAAGGAGAAAAGCTGGGAAACATGACGGGCAAAGCCATGCATTTGTACGCACGAGATGGGTGGGGCAGTGATCCTGGGGTACATCAGCGGGTTTCTGAGACTAGCGGTTGGCTGATGAGATTCTCACCCTGACTAACTGTATATGCTGGTGCCCGTGAGCCAGGATGGCGATGTGTATTAGAGGGGTCATGCTTGGAGTGCCTGCCATCCTGGTCTTCTTGTCATGACATACCATTTACTGCCATAATGTCTCTCACGTAAAGTTTTTGTTGTTTTTTTTTTTAAAGGGTAATAAATGAAAAAAAAGTCACAAGAATAAGAGAAAAAAAGTCACAGGTGTGTCCTGCTACAATTCTGTATATGGTTAGATTTCTAAATTTCTTTGTAAAATTATGTAAATGCTTATTTCTACCTTTATAAAATTATTTTTCCTACATATTCTGTAAGGTCTTAAAGTTCAACATACCAATATTTGATGGAAAATACCTGTTCCATGATATGCCGAAGATGTTTGATATTTAGACAGATAGGGTAAACTGAACTGCATATATTGCAGGTAAATAATAAGCTTCTCTTCTGGAGGGTTAACAACCTAAGTTAGCAGTTCAAAATTGGAGAAAAGGAAGGGCTGCAAGGTCAGCCAACATTTTGGTCCTAGCCTTTCACGGTCAGTGAAAACTCGGGACATAGGAGAACCTGCACTGTAACAACATGCAACTCAGTTGCGCTCCAAATTTTCTGATCAAGAAGATCATGGAGCCACCGAGGAATGTGATCAATGATATACAGTGTGCCTGGGGAGAGTCACATGGAGAGAAAAAACATTCTCTCAGGCTTTCACAGAGAGCAAATTGGTCAAGCAATGGCCATGACTCACCCTCATGGCTGACACTGACAAAAGGATCTATAAAGTGAGGTACAGGGCTACAGGGTAAATCCTGAGGGTACTTGACTGACCTTATCAGATACAAAAGTTACATTTCTTGCTATATAGGTCTTGCTTTATCTTGGTCTTAACCATCCAGCAGAAAAGTATAACAACAAAGTATATAAAGTAAAGCTGTATTAATACAATGAGCTGTAAAAGGCTCAAGTCAATAACTTCTGAGGATAACCCACTAATATTATAGACTGCTAGACAGAGTTGGATTGTTTAGCTGAATTTAAACTCCTTAGTATTTAGCTGCCAATAGAATATTCACCTCTGACAGGACTAAGCAAAAAAAAAAAAAAAAGGGGGGATACAAAGGAAAGATCATTTTGTATTTATATATACAAAATAGGATAGATATAAAGCTACTTTCACTTAATTCAATGAAAAGAAAGAGGTGTACTAATAGTGTTTGGACAGAATATCCTGTCTGCTTCTTATACTATGGATAACCACTAAGAAGATAACAATGTACAACGTATTATTGAAACTGTCCTATTATTTAGCTTTGAAACTGTCTCATTCATATTTATTTTTCAATAAAATAAAAAAAAAATCAGCCTGGACTACATAAGCAAAACTCTATCTGAAAACCAAAAAAATAAAATATATTTTAAAAGTTATCTCCTAAATGAGGCCATCAGGTCATTGTATTTGTCTGCCTTCCTGTTGCTGTACGAAATACTTGTATTGTTAACTGAAAGGAAGAGAGTTATTTTGGCTGTTTTGGAGGTGTCCATGGTTGGCTGGCACCAAGACACAAACAGTGTAGAAAGGGCCTGGTGGAGGACAGCTTTCATGTCCTGGCAGCTAAAAGCAGGGGAACTGCATCACTGAGAGATGTGCCCTTCAGACCCTCCCCAGTGGCCTGTCGTCTAACAGTTAATCCCGATGAGGATAGCACCTCCATCATCAGACACCTTGTGCAGTCTCTTAACCTTCAGTCTTGTTCCCAGCTTCAGAGGAGGGTGCCCTTCACATTAGCCCTGTCAGCTTCCATTATCCAGAATGCTCATTCACTTCAGGGCCCATCAGTTTGAAAAACTGGTACAGAAGTTTTGGTTTCAGTTCTATGAGAAGTACTTGTAGGAAGCACCTCCTTAAGCAGTAGACTCATCTACCTCCAGTTTTTAGAGGAAGGTTAGTATTTTCCAGATGCAGATGAAATTTAACTTAAATTTTTTTCCCCTGCAGAACTGGAGATTTAGCCCAGAGCCTTCTCACTGGACTGCATCCAGCCTGTTCTGTTCTTCAGTGAGACAAGTCTCCCTAAACTGCCCAAGAGGGACTCATTTTTGTTTTTTGGGGGGACTCATATTTTTTATCTGCCTCAGTTTCCCAGAGTGCTGGGATTACAGAGATGTCCACTACACCCAGTTCTAATTTATTTTGAAAGTAAAAGTCTTTCCAGCACTTACTCATTCTGCTTTGGAATAAGGATTTTTTTTTTTTTTTTTTCCTCGAATGCCTTCAGGGCACTTTTGGCCAGCGGGAGAGTTGTGAGGTTCGAACTCCAGCAACCTGAGGCTGACAGCTTTGTGGAAGCAGCCACTTAAAGGCCTGAGCTAGGGCCAGGCCCCCTCATTCTGCTTTGGAAAGTCTGACAGACCCATTAGAAAATCAGGACCCTGGATAAATGGGTGAAGTTGAGGCTGTTTCATCTAGAGAACTTGAGGAGGTTCACTCTCTAAATCCCTAAAGTGACCTATGGAAGAGATCACGTATCCTTCATTCAGGTATATTGGAGAAATCACAAAAAAAACAAGTTTGGTTGAACAAGGAGCTTCCTCTGGGTCAGGGCTGTAGCTCAGAAATAAATACTTGCCTAACATGCACATGGAGAAAGAGCCTACACTACTTTTAGGTGGCTGGATGCCAGTAGGCAGACCAGAATGATGTTGAAACAAGACAAACATGAATTAGAATCCTAGCTCTATACTTTGTAGTGTACTTACACCAGATGTACCTTCAAGCAACTTAAACCCTCATGCTATGTATCTGTTTTAGAAGTATTTCTCTAAAATTCACTGTCTGGTGGCCGGGCAGATGGCTCAGGAGAATAAGTACTTCCCTGGCAAGTGCAAGGGCCTGAGTTCAATCCTGGTTCAGCCAAAATAAATAAATAAATAAAACTCACTGCATCTTTTATCTTTCACATTTCAATATTTGTCTACAATTTTTAATATGCTATAGAACTGACTTTCAATAAAGGTAATGAGAAAAAACTATAGGTTAAGTGCAAACACACCAGGCTTTGAAGCTGTTAGTTTTTGTACCTCAGGCTGCAATTAATGTATTGTTATTTTGAATTGGATGAAATACACTTACAGCTAGTTTAAAGAGGAGTCTGTGTATTAGCTTACACAACAGGGAACTGGAAGTAGTACTGGCTTCAGAAATGACTGGAGTGGTGGTCTTTTATCTTCTCTACTTGTTTCATGCTATAATCAAAGGTGTCCTGTATACTGTGATAGGGGCCGAGGAGATGGCTCAGTGGAATAAGCGCTTCCCTGGCAAGCGCAAGGGCCAGAGTTCAATCCCCAGTTCCGCCAAAAAACAAAACAAGAAACTACACTGTGATACATGGAATATGGAATGGGATAGAGAAAGAGGGAGACAACACATAAAACTTAGATAGGTACTGGAGAGAAAGAGGCAGGCAGAAGAAAAACTGTCTCCAGAGCCATAGGATCAAACACTTTGTACTACTTTGAAAATAAAAACAAAACAACTTTATTTGACAAGACAAAAACAAGTTATTTACAGTAGTTGTTTGCTCAAATAATTGAATAGGACAACTGCTTCTCCTCCAGCTGTATCTTATAACAAACTCCAAATAGAGGCTGCCCCACTCCCCAGACACCCCATTTTACTTAAGGGGAGAATGCCAAACAATTCAGCAGCATGGCTCCCTCACCCCTCATCACCTCCCCTCCTCAGTGCTCTGTGGGAAAGGAAAATCCCATTCAGCCAGTCCCCTGCTAGGAAGCACCCTGCCACAGTCACACTGGTCCTGGGTTCACTCACAGTCATGGCTGGGTTGGATGAGATGGTCAGACAGCTCTGAAGTTGCCATGTTCATTCTTTACCAGCTAAGCCTCAGGATATGAGGACCCTGGACCCCCTGGGGCACAGGAGGAAGGGGCTGCAAGGAGGCAAAACAGAGCCTAGGAGTATTGCTAACCCGAGACAACTCTCTGAGTTATTAAAAAAAAAAAAAAAAAAAGTCCCCACTCCCAAAATCAAGGGACAGGGCAAACCACTCAAGAGAGTGTGTGTACCTTCTTGAGGGTGTCAAGGTCTTCCTAAAAGGACACACGATGCGTTCTGTCTTTTTTATGGCCAGGTCCACCCACGTCAGTCAACACCCAGGAGCCTCTTCCCTTTATGCCCAGCCTGACAATTTTAGGAAACTACAGACTGGGGCTCCTGGCCTATTTTTTGGCCCAGTAACAATGTTATTAAGAACAAAAATACGCTGACTAATAAAAATCTAAGATTAGTGTTTCTTAGAATATATAAAGATGGGGTATACTGCTGTTGAACACTATCAGCAATGAAACAGCAAAACAGATGGAGATGAAGACCAACTATGATCTGTTTCACTGGGAAATTCAGGCAGGCCCCTGCAACTCCAACTTATAGAAAGGCAAAACAAGGACATACAAGCTTCTCCTGGGAATATGGTCCTGCCTTGGTTGTGGGAAAAGCTGCCTGTTGGAGTAGCTAGAAGGAATTCCCGACCAGCAGATGGCTCACTTCTCTCCAAGAAGGGGATGCTAGAGCCTCTGATGTTCTGGCCAAGTTCTTAAAGGATTCAGGAAGGATTCAAGACTGTACGATAAAGCCTTCAACAAAGAAGGGGTCAACATTAAAATGAAAGAAAAAAAAAATCAGTCTTAGTCTAGTTTATTCATCCCCCCAAAAAAGACAGTAAAAATAAAAATAAAAACAAACACTTCTCTGGATTTTACCGTTCTTCTCTGCTCTAAGCCTAGGTTTTGTCAGATTCTATTGGCCTCCCCCTTGGCTTTGGCCTTATCCCCTTCTGTGCCTAATGAAAAAAAGCCAGTGCCCACGTGTTTCCCCTGCTTTTTTGTTCCCCAGATGTGGTGGGGATTGTGTTGCGGGTGGTAAACCAACACCAAAACCATTTGAAATTTTGTGCTACTGCAGAAATTCAGCTGGTCCCCCAAAATAACATCCTCCTTCCTTACACAACAATCCTCAGTTGCAGTAGTAGATAAATCTGTTCATCAGACACTCATGCAATGCTCTCATTCCCCACACCTGGGATAACTACTGCTATTAATGCAAACCACAGCAAAAAGGGAAAAATTAACAGTTTAGCAAACACCTAAACATTCAACTGGAGTCGGTCCTGTTACATGTGCTGGGTTCCTCTTTTGTCTACACTTATGAACTTGGAATGTCCATACCTGGCTTGACAGAAAGAGGCATAGCTCAGCGGCAGCTTGGACCCACAGAGGTCTGAACTTGGCAGGTTTCCTGAGCCCAGCCCAGGAAAGAAGGCTAGAACAAGTGTCCTGGGGTTCTCTGGAGAAGCAGCAGCAGCACCATGCCTGTCTCCAACCCCCTGGTCTCACTGAGAGGAGGTCTGGAGAAATGGCAGAGTCAGCATAGGAGAGGTCCCCATCACAGTGCAGTGACGCCAGGTGGCATCTTCCTGCTAAGACCTCTGGACAGAGGAGATGATCCTGATGCTTGGCAGTGATCCACAGAAAACCTCTGTAGGAAGGAAGCGAACTTGGAACCCAGGACAGCTGGCTCCAGCCTTGAGCACCCCTGTTGGCAGATGCCTACTTGGGGTTCTCAGAGACTAAAGGGATGGGAGTGTGCAGCAATGGGGGTGCCGGGTCCTGCTGCTTCTGAAGCTCCATCTCAGCAGCTCTCTGCAGTGCCACCTCCACCAGCAGCTGGAAGCTGCTGAAGTCCTCCTTGTCCTGCTCGGGGGGTGTGGGTGGCGGTGTGTTGAAAAGTCCACCTGTGGGGCTCCCAGCCTCAGCCCTGGTCAGTAGGGTCAGTGTACCACCGGGGCTGACCAGCGGCTTAGGGGGCTCTAGCTCCCCTTGTGGGAAGGGAGCTGCTGGTTTTTCCCCCTGGCCTGAGTGAAGTGGCACAGAGCAAACGGACAGGGAGAGAACACTGGGGGGAGTTGGTACAGAAACGGCCAGCACTGAAGGGCTGTTACCACGGGGAAGGGCTACATCTGAGGCTTTCCCCCCACGGCGGGAAATGGTGAACTGATTAGGGTCTTTGCCATCCTTCCGCAGCATGTCCGGGAGGAGCCGCCGCCGGGCGTTGATGAACCAGTTACATATCTGGAATGAGTACAAGAGACTGGTCAGTTCACCTATCCAACACAGCTAGGCACTACTGTTTTCCAGGCTTCAGGAACATAGCAACAAACACTACAGACAAGATCCCTGCCCTCACAGATTCATGGAGGAGAGTTATGTAAGATGTCAAACAAACTGAGACTGGTGTGGCAGTACGTGCCTGTAATCCCAGCCACTGGAGACCGAGGTAAGAAGATTCAAAGTTTGAAGCCAGTCTGGGTAACTTAATGAGAATTTGACTCAAAAGAAAAATATTAAAAGGGATGAGGATATAATTTAGTGCTGAGTTTAATCCCCAGAACTGGAAGAAAAAAAGAAGGCTAAACGTATTAGTATACCTCTGGAAGGCCGAGGCAGAAAAATTCCAAATTTGCATCCAGCCTGGACAACTTAAGTGATTAGTCTTGGGAAGAGAGAGAGAGAGAGAGAGAGAGAGAGAGAGAGAGAGAGAGAGAGAGAGAGAGAGAAAATGAACTAGGAGTAGCCCAGGATGGCCTTGAACTTGTGATCCTCCTGCCTTAGCCTCCCAAGTGCTGGGATTATAGGTTATGTGGCATCACACCTGGTGAACTCCTTATGGGCAGTTGTACACATTGTCATTCCAGTACTTGGGAGGCTGATGCAGGAGAATCACTGAATCTAGGCCAGCCTGGGCTATGTATAGTGAAATCCTGTCTTAAAGGGGGGGGGGGTGGTGGTTCAGTAGAATAAGTGCTTGCCTGGCAAGTTCCAGGGCCTGAGTGCAATCCCCAGTTCCGCAAAAAATACATAAATAAATAAATAAAGTGTGTGTGTGTGTGTGTGTGTGTGAGAGAGAGAGAGAGAGAGAGAGAGAGAGAGAGAGAGAGAGATGTAACTCATTGTGAAGGTCTTGAGGAAAAGAAAAACAACAGACATAAACAAATAGAAAACTGCTACCAAAAAAAAAAAAAGAAAACTGCTACTATGTTGAGGCCAATGAAAGAAGACAACAATGGCTCTAGTCTTGTCTGTGGATTCCAAAGTATCTCTGAGGAACTGGCTGTTTAGCAGAGCTCTGAAGGACAATCCCTTGCTGCAGTGGAAAAGAGAGCAGCACAGTACCAAAGAGCAACCAAAGAGGCGGACCAGAGCAGGTTCTAGGCACAACCTCTACTGGTTCTTTACAGGCAAGCGGGGGCTGTAGGAGGGCTGTTTTGAGACAGGGTCTCGCTTTATAGTTCAGGCTGGCCTGAACACTTCATAGTCCAGGTTACCAGGAAAGCCTTGTGCTCACAGGGAGCCTGCCTAAGCCTCCTGAGTGCTGGCATTACAGGTGTGCACACCCAGCACAATGTTGTTTAAGGCACTCAAGATAGAAACTAGGAAGTCTCTAGTGCTCAGTTATACCCAAGCCTTTACTTTTTATTTTTACTGAGGCAGGGTCTCACTCTAAATTGCCCAGGCTGTTCTTGACCTTGTTCTTGAACTACCTCCCTTAGTCTTCTGAGTAACTTGGATTATAGGTGAGCACCATCATGCCTCATTAGGAGGATTTTAAACAAAGAAATGACTTGTTATGTGGACAATAGATTGGGACCAAAGAGTGTGGCTGGCAGTTTAGATTATGTTAAAGAAGATGCCAAGAAAAGGACAAATATTTCATGAAGTAGAAGAACCTGCTGCCTAGGTAGGTGTGGACAGATGAAGAGGAGGGAATAATGCTGAGTAATTCACTCCCCAAAGGTTACAAAGCATAATCATACTGCAGGGCAGAGAAAGTCACAAAAGCTACAATGGGCCCACAAAAACATTTCTGATACTAAGCAATACCAAGAATATTAGGGGGGCTGGGGAAGATAGCTCAGTGGAATACATGCTTGCCTGGCAAGCTCAAGGTCCTGAGTTCAATCCCTGGCACTACCAAAAAAAAAAGGGGGGGGGGGGGCCTAGTCCTAGCTCAGGCCTTTAAGTGGCTGCTTCCACAACGCTGTCAGCCTCAGGTTGCTGGAGTTCGAACCTCACAACTCTCCCGCTGGCCAAAAGTGCCCTGAAGGCGTTTGAGGAACAAAAAAAAAAAAAAAAAGAATATTAGACGTGGAATGTCCCATTAGTTGGCTGTTAAGACTCAGGTGCTTGTGGTTTGGGGGACATATCTAACACCCTACTCTGTATTTGTCTGGGCTCTCTGTCCACATGATCGAACCCAGAGTTTTGGGCACTGAGCTACATTCCCAGCTCCTTGGCCTCTTAATAGTTTCTTACTTTGTCCTCATCACTGGTTGTCCGTCTCTTTCCTTTTTTTTTTTTTTTTTGTAGAACCAGGGATTGAACTCAGGCCCTTAAGCGCTTATTCTACTGAGCCATCTCCTTGGCTTATTCTACTGGCTTATTCTACTCCCTGGCTTCTCTCTTTCCATTTTTTGGTTTCAAGTACTGGGAACACAGGCAAGGCAAGCATTGTATGATTTAACTATCCCACCCCCCCTTTATTTTATTTTGAGATGATGTCCTGCCAAGTTGCCCTGCTTGGTCTCTAACCTGCAGCTCTCCTACCTCAGCCTCTCGAATACCTGGGATTCTAGGCATGCAACTACTGTGCCCTATGTGCTAACACACACTCGGCCAATAAGCCAGTAGGTGAGTGATCATCAGTAAGTGCCAGGAAGAAAAAAACAAAGGAATACTACATAAAAATAAGAGACTTCCTTAGGGACCACATCTAAAGGGTGAGAAAAAAACAGCCACAGAAAGAATCTTCTAGATACGAAGTTCAGCAAATGTCAAGGTCCTAAGGCAGGAAAGGGTTCAAGAACTGACAGTGGGTGATGGGCTCATTAATGGACAAGGCTGACCGCATTAGCTTGGAATACTGGTCAATTACTAAGTGACTTGATGGAAACTTCACACTCCAAGTGCCCCTCCTGGTCTTTAGTTCATAAGCAAATATTTAAGGATTTGTAGGAAATACAAGCTGCTGCAGCAGAAAAAAAAAAAGCCTTCTATTTTCCCTTCACTTCCTCTGTTCTAGGAGGTGGGAAGTGTGTGGGCAGCAGCATCTAGCATTCCTCTAATGTCTGTGAGGTGTGCCAAAGGCCCAAGACTGGTACTAGCTTCTGTCCCTGGCTGTTAGCCTTAATTCTTGATCCATACCTGAGCAAGCGCTTGGGTACCATCTCCCCGCTGACTCCATCTTGGACCAGGCAAAGGGACAAGGCTCTGCCCTCCCCACAAGCTGGCAACTGCAGCTGCATCTGTTCCACAGGTTTTCCAAACTAGCACCAGGCCCCTCAGGCTGCAAAGCCCCCAGAGCAGAGACAGAGGTTTCTGTGGCCTGTTCTATTCTACCCTGGATGGATCCTGCACCTGCAGCTATGTACCTCTCTTCACCTGTGCTCTTCCCAGTGTAATAGGGCATGTACCTAGCATCATGAGACACTGGCTGAGGCCTCAATAGAAGTAGGGCTGCACAGCAGGGAGAAAGGAAGGAAGGAAACACTTGGTATCAGGTATCATCATGCCAGCCATCTCATTTGGATTGTGTTTAATCTACATACAAGCCCTTAAGGAAATGAGCAGTATCTCCGAAGTACTGCAGAGGGAACTGGAGCTCAGTGATGTGAAAGAACTTGCCCAAAGTCACATGGCCTCTGAGTGCAGAGCTAGGATTAAAACCCTGTCTCTTGGCTGTTAGCCACCCCTCCCTTGCTCTTCTACTGACTAGAGTTCAGACAGGCTAGATGAATAACCATCCTCATAATCCTAACAGTAACACTAGAACACAGAATATTAGGTGCTATTCTACGCATTCATCTTCAACAGCCTATAAGGTGGGTTGTGTAATAATCTCCTTTGGAGAAACATAGGCCCTAATCAGGGAGACTCAGTAACTTCAAGAAGTTACTGTCTAGAGGCTGCAATAAGGAGTTAGCCCAAGGCCTCTTCTCCTGGCTCCAGGGCAGCATCTTCCGTCTTCCCATGGCAGTCTCCTCAGCTACTAGAGGGCACAGCACGAAGGCACAGCATCTCTCCACTTCACTCCTGCATGCAGGGTAATGGCTGGGTCACAGTGACCTGGGTCAGGCAAAGTTAAGACTTAAGCCAGGGGGCTGCTTCAACAAAGCAGTCAGGCTCAGGTTGCTGTGGTTCGATCCCCACAACACAAGCCAACCAGTCATGCCTTGAAGGCATTCGGAGCAAAAAAAAAAAAAACAAAACACTTCTGCCATTAAGGGCTGGTGAGATGGCTCAGTGGTCTAAAGCACCTACTTATACTTCGAACAAGCTTAGCAAAGCACAGGGACCGCGGTTCAATCCCCTAGCACCACATGCCAGCCAGCCCCACCCCATGGTGGGCTGAGCTGGCCACACACACACACACACACACACACACACACACAAATAAATAAATAAAATTCTTAAAAAAAAAAAAGACTTAAGCCAAGTGCGGCTGTGGGGAAAGTCTCAGGGACGTGGGCCTGAATGTTGACTCGCCTTTGGGTGTGTACCTAACTTCTAGGGCCACCTTCCATTTTGGCTGAAGATACAAAGAGCACAGAAAATACTCCTTTCGCACACTCCCAACTGTCACTTGGGTCCACAGAAAACTAAGCATCTCATGCCATAGGGTGCCCTGCTGAGGGGCCGGACAAGGCAGGAGGCCCAAGTGCACCAGGCACTGCAGCCTCTTCCAGCTGCTTACCCCTCATGTAATTCAGAAATGAGGATGTGACTTGTCTCCACTCAAGGTCCTCAGAGAGGTGGTGGAGGTGAGGCATGAGTTCTATTCTATGGCTGGCATGGCAGCACACAAGCTGGGTACACGGAAAGCCTGTTTCTACCATTAGACAGACTCATGTAAAAGGCTGCCAATGTGTCAGGGCTTTTTTTAAGTCACTAGCAAATGGGAGGGAGATAGGTGGGGCACCAGGAAGCAGACCCAGGTCGTGAGATGAACCAGTATCATTAGGAGGCAGACAATGTTTTCATTCTAAGGTCTTCTACACTAGCAAAGATAGCAACAA